CCCTGTCTAGAATGATTTTCCCTAGCTACCAATGTACTTAGCCTGCACATATCCATCACTTAAGAAAAGTCAAGTCACCATTACTATGTCTTACATTCCCATACCACTATTACCAAATAGAATGGATAACTCTTTCAAAACGATGTCTTTTAAAACATTTTTATTAGTTCCTGGATAATTTTGTACGATGTGCTTTGATGATATTTACCCCTCCTCCAGATTCTCACAGATATACTCCCCCATCTCTATACCCATTTTGTGTCTTTTTTCCCTTTATTAATTAAAAAAAATTCATATGATATATGTGTCATTTTATTTACAACCCATCAAGTGCAATGTGTGTTGCCTATATATTTCTGGATGTGTGTCTTCCATTTGACCACAGTTACTCATTGGTCAGGGAGTGCACTCTTAAAGAAAAATGGATGACTCTTCTCCCAGGGGCTATCAGTTGCCAATGCTCCACAGCCAGGGGCAGACTCTGTACTCACCTCCCAGTATCTGTTGGAATTTTTGTCTGACTCAAGTTTGCACAGTCCTTGTGCATGCTGTTACAACTGTGGGTTCATGTGTGCAGCTGCCCTGCTATGTCCTTGTCATTGTGTGCCATTTCTGGTTCTTTCAAAACAATCCCTTGTATGTACTTGATTACATGTTCTCTTTTCTCTTCCTGCCTGCCACCCTCCTGAAGGAGACCTTTGTCACCTGTTTATCCCAGGGCCTACTTAGTGCTTGGTACTCAGCATATAAACAATGAATACTTGATATAACAATGAATGAATGACTGGTATTCTCTGGGAAGGACTGATAAAATAAATTACATACTGAATGACTCAGCCATTACTCAAAAAAGGAGATAAAATATTCTCATCAGCACATAATCCACTTTTTCCTTCTGCTTATAGAAATTAGTTTTCAATTGCAAGTTCTAAAACATTGTTCAGTTTAGATAACAATATCAAGTATCAAACATGTTTAAAATGTAACTAGAAGTACAAAATAACTTATTTACCTAGTATACTTTCCCCCTTAATTTAAATGTTGGCATTGTCTAGCATACCCAGATGTTTATATCATTACTTTTAACCATTTATGGAAATTCAGAACATTGCATCTGGTACTTCTTATATGTTTCCTCTAAAACCGCCACTTCTGCCAAAAACATCTATAAAGAACTCTCTCAAAAGATTTGGGTAACAAAGCGTCTGGGAATGTATTTGGCTTATGTTCAACAGGACATTATATATTTTCTTGTATAAATCATGTCCTGGAAAATGGAATGTCTTATTTAAAATAAAAACTCAGGCACATTCACATCAAAAAGGTAGTTCCATGTGAAACATTTCAAGCTCCTTTTGTCTCGGTAGCTTTAAAACACGTTTTTATGTTTCATATATTACAGTAACTTTTACTGAACTCATTTTAGACATATTTCTAGACTTTCTTTTTAAAAGTATTCTAAGGAAATTTTCCATTTTCAATTCATACAAGACATTTTAAAAAGGCGTCACTAACTATTTTTAAAAATTAGTTACAAAGTCTTTAAGGTACAAGTATAGGGGCTTGGGATGCAGCTGACTTTCCAAGCCCACTCAAGACCTTCGGTTCCATCCCTAGCACAGGAAATAGGGAAAACATAGGCATCACCTGGCAGGTAGAGCAAAAGCTGTTCCTCACGCTACAATTACATTTCTATTGCTTATGAAAACTTTGCATGCCACAAAACTCAGAGTTTTTTAGTATTAATTACCAATTCAAAAAATATCTTACTTTCCATTTCAAATTACCTAATCATTTTCATTTAAGATGGAATTTATTAAGAGCAATTAAGGAAATGGAGAAAATATACAACTACATATATAACAGTGTATGTACCTTTTAATGGCAGCTATACTAGGTTTACACAGGTGATACTGTCTCATCAATAACAAGTCCACAGCAATCCTCAACTCTGAGGAACTAAGAATAAAGACACCAGCCTACTTACTCAATTAATGGCCTGGTGTGCTGACGGAAAAGTACTGGATGGCATGTGAAAGGAGTTTTAGAACTGTGTTAAAAAGACTGTTCTGGGTAAAATGCTATAACAGTAACCCTCTACCAGTCAACACTGCCTATTAAAATAGAGCATCTATAGACTCTTAGGGTTTCTCTTGTGGGGGGATGAATTAGCCTAACTAGTTCTTATAGTTTAAATAGTTTTCACACTTGCTAGTGAAATCCTCCTAGTGGCTTAGCACTTTTTTCAAGTCTCCATCCCTTAACAAGAGGAACTAAATATGCCCCTTACGGCCACTGCTGTGTACAACTGTCTTAAATTACTACCTTATAATGCTGGTCATGTGCCATTTCCTTCGCTCCTTGAAAAGGGGCCTATCTAGTGTTCTACACAGCAGCCAACATGTAGCCAAGCAGCTGGTCTTTATTAGGTGCTTACTGACTAGTAAAGCGTCAGGCATCTGTCTTTATGTCTCTCTGCAGGGCCCATGAATGCCCTTGGTTCATAACCATGGTGCAGGTACCTGACATTAACAATCACATACTCTAAGAGGGACTGATGTCATCCATGCTGCACTGCTTTAATACTGGAGTCATTAATATGTAACCACTCTTTCCTTATGTTTGGATAGACTGAATCATATCTTGGTAGTAATGATATAATCAACCATTCTGAATAAAAAACACCACTTCTTAAAGTAAATTTCCTAATATTGTCTAATGTTGAAACAGCAGATCGACTAATCATTAGTCTACAGAGGCTTAGAAATAAAACAATACTTTGTCTTTACAATTCAAGTCTGTGTATTTTCTTGCAACAAAAACCAATTTGTCTTTTTCAAAATTGTTTCTCCTGGCAAAAACTTTTGCTGTCTGGCCAACTTTTGTGTTAAAAATAAAGTACAGTGTTACAACATCAATCAACATGTAAAGTACTTAGTGACTTACAAAAATATACAGGGATGCTTTGTGAAGTAAGTAAGCCAATCAAGAATTTATATTATCAAATCAAGAATACAGCATTGAGAAAATCAAATCGCATTTGTGTTTAGAGATATAAATGTGGTACTAAGTGCTTAGGTAATGTAAGAAAACACTGTTAAGAGAAGCTATAAAAGGCAAGAATAATTTAAAGACATAACAACCAACTGTCTCGGTGTTCCCCTTCCTGTCTGTGACACTCTACCTCCTTGGCCTTTTCAAATACTAGTTGTATGAGCTGAAGTAAGCGGAGTTTTCTCTCTAATTCTGACTCCCTAGAATGAGCCCAAAGTCCCTACTTATTAAAAGTGAGTATTAATTATATTTAACACAAATAGGAAACCAGGCTACCCGCCCTACCAGCTACAATGAAGAAAACTGAAATATTTCTACTCATAGAAGTTTAAAGAGGTGCCAGAGCAAACACCAAATACTGCATGCAGTTAATTCACAGACTCATTTTCATCTGACCATGGTCTACTGGAAATGACTCAGGTGAATGATTAAAAGGCGATGTCAGGGCACACAGCATCAAGCTGTCACAGCCCAATGACGGAGTTCAGAACTCACCTTTTTACCTCTGCTGATCTGGCTCAGCTCTAATATATGACACCTGTAGCTAACCCTTTGGTGCTCAGTGTTCTTTTTGGTTCATCACATCTTCCAATTAATGTAGTTGTACTGGCCATCTATCTAACTAGATTATTTTCCCAATTCACAGTTCTCATTAGAGAAGCCATTCCAACAATGAGGGTTTAGTACAGAGAATACCACTGTATCTCTAAGGGAGCCACAGAAAACAAATGACAAGTCAGACATCTTATAAACACCCACTTCCCTGACAGGAATACAGAATGTGGAAAGATCAAAGCTTTGGTACAACAAGTAAAGAGATCTGCAAGGATCTGTAATCTATAGAAGGGGACTGACACTACACATTTACAGTTGTTCATGAATGGCAAATGAGTAAGGAAAAGACCAAGCACTACAATCTATGTTAGTCAACTGTGTATAACGGATACTTACTAGGTATTGTTCCCTTGTTGCCTATTTCCAGGCCTACTTGAGATTTGGAGCTCCTACGCTGATCAGTTCTTATGAAACAAAAACTCAGAACAAAGTCTCAGAGTGAAGTTACCCCAATGATGCCAACTTCCTTGCACTTATTATTATTTTGTTGTGTCCATTTGGGGGTCTCCTGGGGGGATCTAGGCCAAGTTATTTAGGTTGCACCTATGGGGCAATGAACTAATTTCCTGAATGTCCCTGTCACTGTTCCTGTTTAACAGCATCTCTGCTGTTCCATCCACTTCTATTTGTGCTTTCTGACATCTATTTTGTGACACATGGTATTTATTTCTTAAGTGCCTTGAGAACAGAGACATCTACAGCCAATGCATTCCTAGGCTCAGTTACGAGCTTCCCAATCACTTCAAATCATTACTAATTAAACACAGCCTCAGAGGAACTTCAAGCCCCTGGCTACCCCCAAACAAGAGATTAAATTTAATGATATGCTATCACTGTTGGCTGTTAGGCTTAGCACAGCACTGTGAAAGACCCTACCATGTGAAGTTCAATGATAATCCTAAGTACAGGGGATTAATTTTACAAGCACCAAACCCAATACACTGGGTATCTGCTGAAAAGCCTGTCCACAATCATAAAAATGAACAAAAAGTCATCCAGTAACATATCAAGTGGGTTCAGATGTAGCATGAATTATCAGGGAAAAGACAAAAACCATAAAAATTGGATCAGTCAAATCAGTCTCCTTGATCAACATGGCAACAACCAAAAAACAGTCACACCTCAATAACCAGGAGAACTAACTGGACAGCTAGGCTATTCTAATGCCTCTGGTTTCATTAGATACAGATGTAAATAGAAGCAACTTGCACATGGGAATGGGAAATGGAAGTCACACACCACTAGCTTTCTCAGCTGTGCCAGTATATGGCAGAGGACTACACTTGATTCAACAAAAGCACTGTTGGAGAAAACAGAGAAAAAAGACCTACTTTGCTTTTTAAGTTCTTCAATTTGTTCTTCTTTTAGGTCTAGCTGTTCTGTAAGTCTTGAAGCCGAATCCAATGCAGCATTTGCTTCATCCAAACGTTCCTGGTGGTGCCGGGGGGGGGGGGGGGGGA